ACGAGGTCCATGCGGCACTCGAAGCCCAAAAACACGTGAAGCAAAACCAGCGCCGAAAAATGTTGGTTTTATTCGAAACTGCGGCGGGATTTGCCGTTTTTAAGGTGAATATAGTTTGATTTCTTAGTTTTAATGAAGGTTATGGTTTTGATAAGGTTATTTGTCCTTGTTAGTGGGTGATATATTGGTATTTTCGTGTGTTGGTGTGGTTGGGCATGTTTACTGTAAACAACATGATTTTATTTAGTGAATGATCCCGTGTGAAAGTTTTATAAGTGTTTGTGTTTGTTACTTCCTTTTATTAAGGTGTGTTTATACATGTTGTGTTTGTATGTGTATCATTTTCTGTTAATTTAAGTATTTACTTGGGCATCACGTACATCTTGTGTTTCTTAGTGTTTCTTCCACAATATCAAGTTCATTCGTTTGTAATAAAAGTATTTTGTTTACACGTAGACTGCCTTATGATACAAAACCCTGTAATAGTATTTATGAAGAAATATCTGAGGTGTGCATGTGAAACCGCATTATTAGGCTCTGGAGCATAAGTGTGTCCGTGGAAAAGCCTTGAGTGGATGGTCAATTAGTCCTTTAAAGCTGTTTCTTGTTTTGTGAATGGCCAGCTTGATATTTCCCTTTAAAGCACAAGTAAATGTCTAGGAGATGCTTATGCATTCTGACCTTCACTACATCATTGAAGACCAGCAAACCTCTGCTGTGCATTATTCTGAGGGATCTTGTCGATATCCTTGGCTATTTATTTTAAATCCAAAGAATATCAAAAGTTCTGGATCCTGGGGCCTTGCTTTGGCACTTGTAGATCAGCCTTGAAGGATTAGCTAACATTCTCGCATGATATACAGACTCCTTGTCACCTCTTTGCTATGCCATTAGCTTTTATTCTGGAAACACAATGAAGACACTACTATTTTTATAGTACTTGATTTAACATTTGTCATATCAAGAGTACAGAAGGCCAGTATGTTCTCATGCTCAGGGATGTTGCCCGGAACTCTCATTCACTGATGGAAATAGTGTAGTAGCCCCTTCCCGAAAGCATGTCAAGTCCGTCTCCCTCCAGTGGTGAGGTGTCCCTTTCACCTGCCCTTTAGCACGAAGAGAGATCCTTGTCACCCAGGGCCAATGGGGGAAAATCTAATTGATGAACATTGAACGATTGTAAATGTCTATAAACTTGGAAGTATTGTATGTGAAAGATATATGTAATTATTGCAAAATTTTATTTTTGTATTTATTTTATTTTCATTTTTTATTTTTATTGTATTTTTATTTTTATTATTACTATATTTTTTTTTTCTGTATTTGTTCCTAGAGCGACGCACCCTCCAGAGACGAAGTCCAAAAGCCAGGCTGTTATGCTAATCTAAAATTCCAAACCTAATATTTTCGGAAAATTTTCCGCGCATGTCAACCAATCGTACAGTAAAATAAGTGTATGGAATGGATACCTTGACGAAAACTAAGACACTTTTCATCTATGGCAAAAACTGCGCAAATCTAAAATAAGGGAGATATAGGACAGAGAAGAGAGAAACTCGACCCTTCATTTTCTAAGTCCCCTTCCATGTTTACCTTGCGAGATCAAAACAATTGTGACGCGTAACTCATTACTGCGATCCAGCAAGTAGTCCATGTATTGCTACGCGCTTGTGAAAACGCTTATTTTGTCATTACTAGCGTCTGATTCTCTGAATTCATGTATGTAATGCATTCTTCTAGTTTTAATATACTTCTCTTGCGTCTTTTGGTAATTTTTTACGTTATTCTGTACAATAACCTTTTGCGCATGCGCGTTTTCACCGGGAGATTTGACAGGTCGACCCACCGCCATTCGCTCAGAAACACCGGTGAAAAATGTTTCATTTCAAGTGCTGTGTCGACATCGGGTTATTTTTAAAACTATATTGTGGATATACAGGACAAATAGACATTATTCTCAATCACAAGCCTGATATTTGAGCCCAACAAGTGCCCCAAATGCCAAAAAAAGTGATTAGAAACCAAGCAATTCTGACCATGGACGGAAGCGCACAATAGTTCGGTTTTTCGTTTTATAAAGGTATGTGGTATATTACTACGGGGGTCCAGGGGGCGTAGCCCCCTGGCTAGGCGCATTTAATACCATGGGGGTCCAGGGGGCAGAGCCCCCTGGCTAGGGAATGTATAGATCGTAGTGTATAAATCCCACAGGGTTAGGCTAGGCTAGGTTAGGTTAGGTTGGTTTGTTAGGTTAGGATGCATTGTACGATTACCACAGGGGATCTGGATTATGTGAAATCCCGTAGATTTTTACCGAACGGTGGGTTTGGTTCCCGTAGAGTTTTTCGAAATTTGGCGCGTCGGCCCGTAGACTTTGAAAGATGGCGGCGATGTCCGTAGAGTTTCATTGTCCGATTTTAAGCGTTTTTTGTGCTGGTTTTACACATTTCTGCTCTCCATTTTGCTTATTTCAGCCTGTTTTACCCCGTAATTTCCCTGATCTACTTCATGCCCTCCCCTGCTATCGGGACTTATGAAAACACATCAAGATTGTCGGCTGGAGAATCCGACGGAGAATATCATCAGATTCGTTCTCATCACACGAGAACAAATTTGATGATATAAACATTGTCAGGGAAGACCCAGTTGTCATTTTTGGAAAATTAACCATATTTTCTACCTTCTGTTTATTACCTAGACAGGGGGGCAACCCCCCATGCACTTCATGCCAAATTAGAAAAAACGCAACATTAAATACTCGGGCTGTGCAAGGGCGGTGCTGTGGACTTAATCTCTGAGCAGTGACATGCAGCAGATATTCTTGTCATTTCGCAGTAAATAAGAGATTGTTGCAGCTGCACCTGTGTTGTTTATTACTCTATTTACTCTATCACTCTCATTAACAATAGCCTTTTTTTTTCTTTTATACAAGGAAGCAGGTGTATATTATATTGAATTAATGGCTAATCGCTTTTCTCATCTCAAGATAATTATCATTGGTGTTAGACATGTCAGCAGTGTCAGGTACATAGAGCAGCTGTCACCATGATATTAATTATTGATGTTGTATTGAGAAGATGTGAAAACTAATCTCATCTTGTGTTTACAGCTGCTAGATGAGAAAAAGCTGAAAGAAGTTGACAACCTGTTTGAGGACTTCGAGACCCCAGAAGCTGCCAGCAAAGTGTAAGTCAAATGTTAATACTATCATGCTTTTTGAAGTTGTAAGATTGTAATATTTTTTCAGTAACATCCATTTGGTGTGAATGACTTTTTATAGGTGTAGGCTTTAACTTGTCACTGGCAGTATTAGACATTTCTTGGCACCACTGACTCCAGTGATTTCTGGCAACCATCCTGCCGTTTGGCCTGGAAGTCTGCTAATAGAACTTTCCAGCGTGATGTCAGTTTGTTATGATGGCTGTAGGCATGGCCCGGCAGGTGCAGGTTAACATTAGCCATTATTATTAGGAAACAAATGAAAGTATTTAAGGTAAAAAATGTGAACAATCTGAAGTGACAAAAGTAATTACTGTTCTCCGTAAGTCGACAGGTGCTCAGTTATTGGTCTGTTTCCTTGAATTTGGGAGAGAAAAAAGTAATTTCATTAATAGTGTTACTTGTAATTTAATACACTATAGATGGCTGTCCCGCCAGTAAGATGCCTGGAGCATTGAACATTTCATCTCTGTTGTCTGCTTGGGGTGCCTCATGTGTAAGATGTAATGTGTGGACCTCAGTAGCATCTGTTATGTCTATTCTGAAGACAGTTTCAGACAGTGCAGAAGTTACTTCATGAGGTCATATAAAGATGTGAAGTTATTAATATTTCCTTCTACTTGGATTTGATGTCACAGAAGGATGGAGGGAGTAGGGGATATTATAAGGAGAGAGAGAAAGACACACAAAATTAATATTTACTTTCAAGTTGTTATTAACCCCTTCTCAATGGGTCACGCAGTGGGGCATCAAACAAACCGGTCGATCTGTGGTGTGTGGCTGTACGCCGCTGCGGTGCGCAAAAGCGCTATGAGCCAACGATTTGGCTTGATGTACCGAACTCCCATGCTCAGTCAGTGTGTTGCCAATGATCTTCAGAGTGTAGAGTTTTTACAAAATTTTCTTCACCTGTCATCAAGGGGTTAAAAGGAAATGGTTTCACTTTACAGCCACCATCTTACTTCCATGTAGTTGTAAATAGTGTCACAAGGAAGTGATGTAAGTACACTAGGCTGTGCTGTACTTGTCATGTTATGTGACATGTGACCTTATTGGCTACTTTTGATTCTATGTTCCTCGCCAGGTTGAAGTGTGGTAATTTTCTGCTCACATCTTGTTTATTACTTGCTTTTGTAATGCCTCACCTTGCCAGCATTTGAAGATGATGCTCCTCCTCCTTTGAGGATGCTGACCCAGCCAGCCATAGTCTTCATTGACACACCCTGCCAAGGTACTTCACTGCCTCGCATCACAAAAGATAGTGGACACTCTTGTCCAGCCAGGGGCTACTGGCATAGCTTGGGATCTGCATGATAGTGAGGATGGTGGATCTTCCCAGTTATCATGACTACTGGTCGACCAGTTTGGTCCTGTGTCATGAACTCATTGCTGAGGTCATGCACAGGGATTGATCGACTTGTTGATCCAAGGTTTGGTACAGGAAGGTCTTCTTCCTCTTTGACATAGCTATTGTCAATGTCTGGGCAGTCCATTGTTCCCTGGGTGGAGAGGAGTCACTGCAACGTAGATTCTTGAATAGATTTTGTGTTGTGGAGTTAGTGACCTAGTGTCTGATGAGTGTGTCTATTGTAAAGGCTTACCATCTATAATTTGTTAACATTATAATAATCATAATGTCAGTAATAATAGTTTCAGTATTAGTATTAAAAGTATTAGAAGAAAGAAAAAAAATCCATGAAGTCAAAGAATGGAGAAATCAGGCATGGTCATTAGGGCCTACTAATTGACTCCTTGTTGACTGAACACTTGTGGAGATACATGTGTGCAACAAATTTCACAAAAGAGTACATAAACCCGTACTGTCCATTATTCTTTGTCTGAAGAGCCACATTTCTTATTGTGGCTGTTTTCCTTTTCATTGTTGAATACACAGTACTGTATTTGTGCTTTTGTTCATATGTGGTTGAATCTTATTGGTCATGATACTGAATTCTAAGTCAACAGTGACTTTTTTAAGTCATTGTGAGTGTCCTAGTAACTTTTGAATCTTTTGTAACCAGTATGTTGTCCTAAGCTTGCCTTTCCAAACCAAAATCAGGCCTTTTTATAGCTTGGATATAAGCTGCTTGAGGAAACAACTAACTTAAATAGGTCTTAGTAAAAGTATGATGTGGAGGATCATTCCACAGATAAAAAAGGAGAAAAGCAAATGGATGAAAAGACTTCAAATTCATGAAAGCATTGAACAAGTATAAAAACAAGCAAGTAAGCAGTCATGATTTGTTACTCTATTTTCTATTTTTCTTCTTATAATAATAATAATATTTATTTATTTATTTTTTCTTACAGAGTGCAGCTTCAGAATTTCAAAAAGTTTGAGGACTCCGCTGAAGCACTGCAAGCAGGTGTTGCTCTCAATGAGGGGAAAATCTGCAAGCCACTCAAGAAGCTGTTGAAGAAGGTGTTTACAGATGAAGTCCAAGAACAGCTGATGGTGTGGGATGCCAAATTGGGCAACACTATTAAGGTACAGTGCATTTCTTATACCCCCTTCACCCTTGATTATGGCTTCTGGTCGATGTAAAGTTTAGAGCTATGTCTAGATCACGTTAGGAAAAATATAGGAAGGCATTGTTTTTTGTTTTTGTTTGGGAGATAGATTTTTTTCTTTAAAGAGAGTGGTGTCTTTTGTTTATGTAATTTTTACAATTTATCTTTTACAATATTAAAGAACTGATAAGATTTTTGCTACCATTGAAACCATACTAATATTCTGACTTTGGCCCTACAGGAAAAGCTTGGTGTTCAGTGTATTAGCAACAACAATGTGAATGAATTGATGAGATGCATCAAGTCACAGGTGGAAGGCCTCATCCCAGGTCTGCAGGAGAAGGAACTTTCTGCTATGTCCCTTGGTCTTGGTCATAAGTAAGATTTGCTGCTTTTGTGTTCTTAATTTTTTTTTCTTACAAACACTTTAACACATTGGTATAAAAATCATAAAAGTAATACAAAGTCTTATGTGTACATAGAATATTTTATGTGGTGTATATATCTACTTTGTTTTTTGTTATCCTCTATCTAATTGTCAAATGTCTTTGTTTTTCACAGCTTGGCTAGGTACAAGTTGAAGTTCTCTCCAGACAAGGTTGACACCATGATTGTCCAAGCCATCTGTCTATTAGATGATATTGATAAGGAATTAAATAACTATGTAATGAGGGCACGTGAGTGGTATGGCTGGCATTTTCCTGAGCTCGGAAAGATTCTTACAGACAACCAGGCCTACATTCGTACTGTAATGGCAATGGGTAAGAATGCAAGAGATTTTTTTACAAATGTTGATTTTGATTGGTATATTTACCTTATTTAGAGTCTGCTTTGAGTAATGAAATGATTTTGGAATCCTTTCTGCCCGCTTTCTTGAATATTTTTTTTGATAAATCTAAGGAAAATTGTGTTGTTTACAGGCACTCGTGAGAAGGCAGTTGCTACGGATTTCTCTGATTTCTTGTCGGAGGACCTTGAAGAGAAGGTTAAAGAAGCTGCTGAGGTTTCTATGGGCACAGAAGTTGCAGATGATGATATGTTGAATATTAATTCTCTGTGTGAACAGGTGAGAACAGAGACTATTGATGTGATGTAACTTCTCTGTGAATTTGCTGATGACAGAAAAGGCAATAGTCTTTGTCAGTGTTCAGATACTGAAATGGGTTATATAGAATTAAGATTTTAAAGAAAAACTGAACAAAAAGATAACAAATATAGTTAAACTGATTGAAATTCCCTCCTCAGATCCTAGAACTGACAGAATACAGAGCGCAGCTGTTTGAGTACCTGAAGAACCGAATGGCAGCCATCGCGCCCAACTTGACCATCTTGGTGGGAGAGCTGGTGGGTGCTCGCCTCATCTCCCATGCTGGTTCACTCATTAACCTGGCTAAGCACCCAGCCTCAACCATTCAGATCCTTGGCGCAGAAAAGGCCCTCTTCCGTGCCTTGAAGACCAGGAACTCCACACCGAAGTATGGTCTGCTCTACCATGCACAGCTTGTTTCACAGATCAGTGCTAAGAACAAGGTGAGTTGGTATTGTAAGGAGGAAGTTCTGTTGAATGAAAGTTGTTCTAGTGATAAAGTGTTGATTTTGATTTGCTTGCAGTTCATTATGGGACAGACTTTCAATTACTGTATGGAATAGATTATAATGGGTAAATGAAAAGGGATAATTAATACTCTAGTCTGTAACTCGGCACAAAACATTTTTTAAGTTTTCTCCACATTCTTCAACAGGGTAAAATGTCCAGGATGTTAGCAGCTAAGGCAGCTCTTGCTTGTCGTTATGATGCCCTTGGTGAAGAAACGACCACAGAGATGGGTATTGAGAACCATTCTAAGCTGTCCTCAAGGATGTCCATGTTGGAAACTGGGTATTCTCGCAAACTCTCTGGAAAAGCTAAGAGTCAGTCTGCATTTGCCAGCTACCAAGGCACAAGGTGAGTCCTGTTTATTAGAACATCATTATCTTCATGAAATGTACAGGAACTGAATTGAAAGTATTTTAGTTCAATGTTGTTATTTTTATTTTTTCTATTAATAAATTTGTGTTGCAGTGATGTGAGACAGTATCATATTGCCGCTGATACGACAATGGAGAGTTCTACCAAGCGCAAATTTGACGATTCCTATGGTGAACAAAAGGCCAAGAGAATAAAGGTGGAAGAAGTAGAGGAAGCTGCAGGTATGTATTTGAGTACTTTTTTTTTTTTTTTTTGTATCATTATATACTTAATCTCTCCATGTCAAATTATATGATGCTACTCTTTTTCTAAAGCCAAAGCTTTATTTGTTGGAAATATGGCAGCATGAGTGTTACTTTGAATTTATTTTTTCCATCTTTCACAATGAAAGAAATAAAAAAATCTAATGTTTGAAGTCAGACTAGTCTTGTGAAAAGTTTAGTCAAAACAGTAGCATTAGTTCATTGTTCTTTTCTTATTAGACTCATTTATTGAATTTCTCGTTTCATTGTCACAAGAATTGATTTAAAGTTGAAGGTTTTTTTTTATTTTTTATATGGTATTATGGCTTATAATGATTTGAGCTAAATGGAAGGACTACTTGCAGCTCCAGAGGAACCCAAGAGTGAAAAGAAAAAGAAGAAGAAGAAGCAGCAAGAGCAGACCGAGGAAGCCGCGGAAGTGAAACAGGAAGCGCCAGAGGAAGCAGCCGCCGCAGCAGAGGAGGAGCCCATGGAAGCCGAAACGGGGGAGAAGAAGAAAAAGAAGAAGAAGAAGAAGAAGGAAGCAGCGGAGGGGGATGAATAGATAGTTTTTTTTTATTATTTAGGTCGCTCAGTATTGTGCAAAAAGGTTACTGAAATTTCTTGAAATTTTTATGTATATTTACTTACTAGGAGTTTTACAAATGCTTTCTTGTTATTATTTTTCATTCTTACACTGGTATGTTATGTATACACATTGTATAGCAGAGTTCTTAAATTGACAAGTTCCTTCTGTTAACAAAAAATGCTATTGTGTAGAGAAAGGAGAGATTGTAATTCAGATGTGTAAAGTGCTAGGCATAGAGTAATGATTCTCTAGAATGATGTGACAACCAGAAATATTGAATTTTTACCTTATATTATTTTTTGCTATAATATATATAGAGAGAAATCCAAGGTTTTGTTATATGATTTGTATACATTATCTCGTCATAAATGCTAAGATTTTTTCATGATTTGTTTTGTTTGTCCCACCCAGATTTCTTCTTGGTCAGATATAGATCAAGGATATATGATTTATCTGCATGATACTTTCCTCATTAACTCGTTTGATATTGTGTCCTGATACGATTGGTGCAAATATAAGCTGTTTTTATACAGATCGAAATATTGAATAGGAATTGCAGATAAAAAGCAGCAGGTGATGAAAATGACTAAATCTACTTGTACATTTTAACGCTGTTGTTGCAAAGAAACCTAATCAGGGTATGGCCGAAAGATGACAATGAGAACTATCTATGGTCACTGGCCATGAAGTTGATTAAAGCCTCTAAAACTACTGCAAACATGTAGATAATTACAACCAAGGTAATTTGTTACTAAGACCATAAACACTGCGTTTATCAATGCAAATTTTGTATTATAAAGTTAACAATAGCTCAGACAGTAAAATGTGCATCCCTGGTCTGTCACTGAGATGACTAATTTACTTCTAATATAGGAATTCTTAAATTATCTGCTGGTTCGATTTTCATACAGCATATTTATTTTTTGTGGGATACTTAGTCATTAACGTTAGATAAAAGTATGTAATGGCAGTGATATATTTTAAAAGAGATTTCAGCAAATTATTGTGTTTCTACTTATTTCTGTGTTCTGCTATGGTTTCCCCAGGACAGCTATAAAAGTACTAATGAATGTGCAAATACAACTAAGTCATACATTCACCTTTGTGTCCAAAATTTATATACTGAATGAATATATTTAAGGATGAAACCAGTTCATGCACTGCTTGCAATTCAACTCATTATCTTTATATACGGAAGTGTAGGTGTTGTTTATAACCATGAAAATGAAAGAGAAAAAGCAGACTTGATGACATTAAGTGTCCTAGTACATCTTCACATTTAGGATTGTTACAGGTTTTTTATTATATGAAATCACTTTGACACTGTCACCTCTTTGTTAACTTAAAAGAAAGTTGCAGGTAATTTTATTGGCATGGATCAAAACTAAATCAGTTACCACTGCATATCAAATTCTTTTTTCAAGAAGTTCTTTTCAAAGAACTGAAGATCAAGACTGAAGTATTTCCCAC